TCAACACTTTCCTAACTTTTCTTCTGGACACGTCAATTTTAATTTTTTCAGAAGCACAAAAAAAAAAGACAATTGACGTGTCCGAGATGAAAGTCCGGAAAGTGTTAATTTGAGAATAACGGGGCCAGAAGATTGTTTCCTATTTAGCCCATGGCAACTTTGACAGAGAATATCTTGAGAACTAATCATTCGATTTTCAAAAAAAGTACACAGTTGTGAGGAGAATCAAAATACCTTTGTAACAAGGTACCACTCGACCCATCTTCCCTATCTTGAAAAGAGGGGTGAAAGTCACCGCACCCAGGGGGTGCACCCTAGTGAAATACCGATGGGGTGGGGTCAAAAAGTTTTCCCCTTGAATACAAAATTGACGTGTCCCAGATTTTTTTTTTAATCGACCTTGAAATACCCCAAAACCTCTGTGTTTCGATGTTCGTGAAACACCCCGTATAATGAAAAGCTTTTGGGACGTCCTACTGAAAATGTTCGAGTGCGTTGAAAGTGTGAGGGAACATCCCAGAATTTCCATAAGACGTCGTTTATCACAACTGGATAATGGGCGTTGAATATTGTATCGAAAATGGCTATGGGATCAGCGAAAGCCCCCACATCCAGATAACAGATGTATTCTCTAAATCCACGTTCGTTTTGGTGTGGTTGGTGGGCTGGAGTCTGGAGAGTGGATGGATCCTACTATTGAATGACTTGCAATAACTTAAAATGATAGCCGACATTTTATAACCTGAGATTGAACCGGTTGATCTTCAAAATGTCTATTTTCAACAAGAATTCCATCATCAACATCTCTGCCACACGAGATATTGATTGGCCACCAAATCGCAAGATGGATGGGCTTCTTTTATAGAGGTCAGCTCTCAGTGATGTTAAGTATATTTTTATTAATTTAAAAGAGAGCCTATTGAAGTAATTACCAAGTTAGTTCGAACTTCGTTCCAAACAGACATGATCTAAAATAAGAGTTTAAATATCAAACATAAAGTATCTGACCTACTAACAAAAATATAGATGATGCAACTAAAGTCACCCATATTTTCCTTGATACAATTATACCTACAGTATATTTCATTCAAATGTGACAAGTGTTTACTGTTTGCCAAACGAGTATTTTTACTATAATATTGTGTTTAACCTTGTTTATCTGCCGATTCAAGATAAATTAATATTGTTGCTTACACAAGTTTCATTAGATGAAACAATAGTAGGTATATTATGGTATAAGATATAAGTTTCATTCAAATAAAAACTTGAGAAAAAAAACGGCCTTATGTGAATAAAAGGCAGTCGCCCTTCAATCAATAAAATAAATATAATTTTTCAATTATTGTTTTATTACTCACGTAAAAGTCGTAAAATTTAAATGCATTTCTTTATTGGCCTAACCTCAATACAGATGCATATCTGACAAGTGTAGGTAAAATATTCAACTTTCGATGCAATCAAAGTCAAAAAGTTCAGGAATTGCCTTTCAACTTAATCGCACCAAGTAGGTGGTCGGAATTTTCGCTACATATGGGAAAAAAATTTATTTGTAGGATATGCGATTTTTTTTATGGGCGATCGATTCTGTATGTCCGATTACCTGAGATTAGGTACATTTTGACATCGGTCACGTTATCACTGTCACGGCGGCAAATTGGAAAATTTCGATCAATTCGATAGTACCTAAATTATTGGAAACCTCACAAACTGTCAAGATACAGGGAATTGCTACAGAAACGTTTCATGTACTTTTTGTTCCAAATTTTATAATTTTATAGACAGCACTAAAATATCAAATATCGTTCTAAACATTTTGCTCAAATAACTTTTTTCCGATATTTTGCGATCTAATCACACGAATTTGTCGCCATGACAGTGATCACGTGCAGCATTTTTTCTTGGCGCGAAGAATGTGAAAATCCATTTAAACTACTCATAAACATATGAATAAATATCTTTATTTTTTTATTATAATTAATTAGCCCTATTTAAAATAATCTTGAAATAATCACGCATAATATTGATTTAAAACGATCGAAAGAAGTGCGTCCTTGATTGGCGCGACAATTTCGTCATCCGAATGAATAAACAAATAGTTTTTTTACGCTCAAACTATTTCATTCATGATTTTAACGCTTCACACCGATAAAGCCTTTAAAAAAATAACTCCTATTTTTAAACCCTCATCGTAAACATGACATTAGGAAATTGTTAAACGAGGTTGTTCGTTGAAACACCGTTAAACCATTAATTTGTTTTGAGTTGCTTTGAAGTCTCCACTGTTTTGGCGTGAGTTCGCAATTGCTCCAAATTTCATCGATGATGGCGAATGGATTTTACGATAACTTAACTGGAGCAAAATGAAATTATTCACAACAGCGCTATTGCCAAGTAATAAAAATATTATTGTCTTTTTCCGTTGAAAACAGAATAAATGCTTTACAATAATATAACAAAATTTTCCTCAGGATATTTCCTGACAAAATACAGCAGCGAAGAAAATGCCCATCCTGATAACAACAAATATAACAATGACGAGGTAAACAAGCAGTTTCTTCAATGTTTTGGACATCCCCCTACCGCCAACTTACATCACAAAATCAACCAGGACGACTGCAAAGAAAAAAGCTGCAGAACATGACAGATAACAGGGTCACAAAAAAAGCTCTTTCAAGGGACATCTTTGACATATATGAGTTTTGCCTTGGGGCTCACTTGTTTCCAAACTAAATACTCATTATACAAAACCTTTCCAGTATCTTCCAATAGCTCTGGTCCCAGTTCTAGGAAAAATGTTCGAAAAGATTATAAAAATACATTCCGAACAACCAATTTCTCACCTCCAATGTGCAAGCTTCGCGCCTTTTCTCATACAACACAGTGCAGCTCTCTTCTTTCGACAATGCTCGGCATAAAGGTCTAATTTTCAAATTACATACCCCACAAGGCCCCACTATTCTAACCCACATCATTAAAGAATGTCTTCTCAACCGCCACCTACAAATTCAGATCATTCAAACCTTTTCCACACTTTCACTTTTTAGCGGGCTCATCTCTGTCACCACTTCTATGTAACATTTTGCTATGATAAATAGAGCGAAATCAACACACAAGCATACATACTCCAATTCGATGATAACACTAACACCGCCCTTATTGTTTACGAGAATACTGTAAAACTAACCACGACTTTTAACTAGGTACCAAACCTTGCCAAGGTTTTACACGTGTAGATTGCACCAAATCCTACATTCGCTAGTCTTCATCAACACCAACGTCAACTCTCCAACAACTAAAAATTGATAATATCTTAATACCTACAACTCTAAATATCAGCAAAAGATCTAGGACTAATATACGTACTGATAGATAAATAAATTATGATTGGGAAAAAAATCCAAGCAAATACCTGGGTAATCGAATCCAATTAGCGTTCTAGTTAGGGTTTCCCTAGGGGTTTGCAAACGTTGGACCTAAGTCTAGTTCAAGTTGGATAGTCGAAAATATCACTCATTTTTAATTTTGTGCATGGAAATCACCCGCCCTCTCAGACGTCGTGTTTTATGGCGTCTTCGCTATACACTTCAAGCGCTGGGCACGTGCAACAAATTGCACCTTTAAAAACGAGAAAGTAGGTAGCAAAGGTTGTCAGCTTGCAGACGAGTGCGGTAACCTCAGAGAAATAAAAAAACAATAGCATAAAACCATTAAAGAGCAGTCTAAGAAAGGCAGGTGATCAACGTAAAAATTAACGCTCGAGGACATACAATCGTGCTAGTACATCGAGTTGCACTTTTTTCTCTTGAAGAGGGTGAGGGTGGATGTTGATCGCTGTTCGTTACAGAGCCTTAGCACCTGAACGCAATTGAGCAGATGTAAAATCGACATCAGGCACATAATTCTTCTGGTATATGGCATTTCGCCATTTGCGGATTCAAAAAAAATTGAATCGTTTACAGAAAGGATTCTATAAACTTCAACAAGAGAAGAAAGAAACAATTATTTTACAATCAAATAATAGGCATCGAGAAGTATAACACCAGTCAAAATAATGTGGAAAACTCAAATAAAAACCATTGCTTGTTAGTGTCGGAACGGAAAATAAGGTTTTCTTGGCAAAAAACAGACTAATATAATCGCTATGGAATACGGAATCTGGTGGGGATCCTTCACGAAAAGTTAATGCATATTTGAACGCCATGGATTTCCTCTTCGAAATATTACTAATCGAAGTTTGAAATTGGGGTCCATTCGTATTACAACAAATAGAATTTCTGAAAGCAAATAAATGCGGTAAAAAAATGACAAAAAGTTGTCAACTTTGAATGGCGACATCTTGGTCACCGTTGGTCGTACTGTGAAAACAGAAGAGACAAAATCTCATTTTTTTCTAGAACTTTCTTTTCTTTGAACATTTATCTATATAGGACGGTATAAACACCGGCCCTTGAAAATTTGATACCAACAAAAAAATGCTAGAAAATAAATATATTATAACACTTGTAACGAATTGGCTTGTGTACTTGCTGTCAGGGTAAAATATGACACTAATTTATGTGAGCCGCCAGCTTGCTAGTTCCTGCAATATTTTTTCTCTCTGTGTTTCTTTTGAGCAGCAGTACCAATATTGATTTATTTATTATGTAGTGAACGCGCGCGACTGAGTACTTATGTGTTTTTAAACGGTGACAGATAATGGCCGAGGTCGTACTTATGTATAAAGGTAGTTCCATGAACTTTAGTCAAACGATTTGTCAGTTGTTACATCCAATGTCGATGGAGATTATTGATGGATTTTATTGCAAAATTTTGCATAAGAAATTAACATACATTAGATAAACAAATTTATACAAGCAGTACTTAGGTATTGATAAATATTTCCGCAGTCTCTGGAACAAGGAGGGTGAACTAATAATAGATCAAATAATGATTGGGTCAATATACTCAATTTTAAAAAAAAAAGTTATTTTTAAAATAAATAATTTGAGAGAAAAACATACCTCCTAATTTAGTGTGAACGACCAGATTATCTTCTTCGACCAAGTTGCCAATATCGTAGAAAAAACCAAAAGCACAGATTAGGTTCATCAACAAAAAAACTAAACCAACAAAACTCAGCTTCATTATTTCACATTAACTGGCAGTGAGTTCGATAACGAAATCGCCGCGCTTCCGATTGAACTGAAACGTATTTATCGTTAGCAATAAAATATTTGTTACCGCACTGAGCGCACTAACTAAACTGGCTTGAGCTTGAAAATTGGATCCATGTCCAGGCTATGTTGCAAATAAATCCCCTCCTTTAAGAACTGCATTGTCTTAAAAAAAATGGGTGGACTTGTGTGTGAACAGTTTTCATTGGACTATAAGAATGTTAACATGAGTAGAGGGGGTATGGTATGTACATACAATCTAGGGTATGGTATGCTAATGCAAGTGACAACGCTGTCAGCTTGTCAGCGCTCGAGTTATAGAGCCTTCTCCTGGGATTTTATTCTCGAAACAGGGGAGCAGCGTTCTCATGAAAACGAAGGTTCTGTCTTCGTCGTCCGTATTCATATTTCCATTACACTGACAATGACAGAGCAATCGTTCTCATGAGAATGCTGTTCCTCGGTTTCGAGAATAAAGTCCCTGGTATGACTGACTACAGCGCCTGATTCTTGAAACAAGGGAGCATCGAACGCTGAAAAGAGATTTTCTGTCTCTTGCCACATGGAATTCATAGAATTCATAGAATTGAGAGCACAGGCTGCTCTCTCTCGTTTCGAGAATCAGGCGCGTGCGCGGAATACGTTTTAATTAAGACGTTTATACTTCCTAGATTTGATGCGTTTTTCGTGAAAGAAAATACGGAGTTATTTGGTCAACTTTTGGGTTAGTTCGGGTTAGTAGATGAAAGATAATACGCGTAGTTGTTTGGTCAACTTTTGGGTAAATTCCGAGAAAAAGTTATATTTTTCAGTTTGAAATAGACGTGATGCAATTTTTTCTCAAAGCTGACAATTTTAGGTAGGTAGGTTTTTATCATGTCTATTGTCTATTGTCTATATCCATTGAAGAAAAGAAAATCTTCCCGTCCAAAGTAGAATTTTGTTTTATCTGTTACAGTTTTCGGTCTCGAACATAACTTTGGCGCCCTTAAGCCTGTTCTACATCAACGATTGCCACGCCTTTATTTAATTTACGCTAACTGATGAATAATAAGACAAATCAACTGTCAGATGTTTGCCAACCTAAATAACTGAGTCATAACATGAAATCGTTTCTAGCCATTAAAATCACAAGGCTCGAAGAGACTTTTATAAAATGAAAATCGGCTAGCTATTAGTTTTCATCATTGCTGTTGCTCATTTACAAAGGAACATGGAAGCTAAGCCATGGCTAGTGAACAAACGGAAAGTTGAACTGTCTACAAAAGACTTAACGATTTTTGAGAATGGCTAAACATAGGGTACATTCAGGCGGTCCCAGCGGCTAAGCTCAGCGTCTCAGCAGGAACTTTATTCTCGGAACAGGGGAGCAGCGTTCTCATTGGAACGAAGGTTCTGTCTTTGTCGTCCGGCATAACACTGACAATGACAGAGCAATCGTTCTTATGAGAACACTGTTCCTTGGTTTCGAGAATAAAGTCCCTGCTGAGTGGCTGAGTTTAGCCGCTGGGACCGCCTGAATGTACCCATAGTTTCAATTAATTTTTGGGCGCAATCAAAAATTCAGTGACATTGAAATCTCTCACAAACTGGTCCAAATAAAATCCACAAACTCAATTTGCACCTTCAAATAAAAATTTAAATATCCAATTTATTTTTACTTTCAAATTGAGTATTTACATGCATACTTTTCTGATTGTATGTAGTAGGAAGATTACGATATATTTTATAGCCCGTCTAGGATGAAGTCTCTAGTGTAGGTAGGACCTTTTTCAATTTAAATTGATTTTTGTTTCTTAGTTTTTTCTCCACAGCTAGTTGACTTAGTCGTATAGCAATAAACTCTCGTTGTTTTGCCGTTTCATCAATGACGCCATGCTTTTTATTTTCTCTCGAGGAGCTTAGGCTTGTTTATACCAAAGTCTAAACAACCATATACCAGAGACGGAGTTAATCAGCTCGAGCTTCTTTATCTTATCTTTTAATCGTTACACAATATTTGCATCTTTCTATCAATTACTTTTCAGCAGATTCTCAGTCAGATGAAAAATACTAGCTTGCCTTATTCATAATTATACTTGTATGATCCACCAATTTGCACAATGAAATCTTATTCATCAACCGTGAATAGATGTAAGCAACCTCAATTTTTTCATAAGCTCTTGCCTTTTTGGAAAGAGTTTCACAGTTGTCCGAGGAATGCAGTAATAGCTCTGCAGCAGAAGTTGAACATTTTTAAAAACAAACATAGGGTGGTAACTTCATGCTGCGCCCTGATTTTAGCGGAGTTCTGATGATGTTTCTCGGTCTACGTACCTACTATAGTTCTACAGGGTGTATCAGCAACACGTGAAAATATGACCCGTTTTGACCAAAAAGGTTTATACAAACTCAACCATTTTTAAGAAAAAACCCGTTGAAGTTTTGACATTTTTTGACGACTATTTGAAGGATAAGGAAAGTTTTAATCATTACGAGATCTAAAAAAATTAATCATTTAATTATTAAGTAATTAGGAATGCATTTTTAGTTAAAAACAATAATTAAAAAAAAAAAACAGGACAATGTAACTCGTAATTAGGTTTCTGAACATTTGGCAACATATAGCACAAAAAAGAATAGGAAAGTATAAGTGTGCTAAATGCTAATCGGGGACCTGCAAGCCAAATGACACCTGCCGATGAAGAAAAGATTTTAGTGATAGTGGAAGATAGCCCTGGAATAAGCACTCAATTCATTGGCCGACAAGTTATCTCCCCCACCCACTCAACAGATCATCGGGACCCTCCGACAAAATTTGCTTTACCCGTATCAATAGTCTAGTTTTTTTATTGGGAATTTTCTGCGCAGTGTATTTTAGTATGTTGAAAACCTTGTAACAAAAATTAGTATTTTCATAATCAGGATTTGGCAAGTAGCTGGGTAAGTATTATTTAATTTTCCTCTTGAATGTTTTGTGCAATTCACAACTTAATGAAACCCGCAAATTTTTTATTTCTACTACAAAAGTGATAAAAATGCAATTTATTATTTACATCAATTAACAGCGAATAATAAAGCAAAAGGATCATACAATAGTCCAAGATAATTGTCGTTTGAAAAAAAAAAAAAAAATTAGAGGCAACCTGATTTTTTCAGGATTGTTCAAGGTGGGTGTCCTGAGTATAAAAACACCGGAATCAGTAACTTTCCTCTTCCGCGCGCTTTGCTATAGGGGTTATTTCTCAACATAATGGAATTTCTGTATCTTATTGTAGATAATCGGATTCTCTACAACTTTTTCATTTAATATATATATTTTTTTAAATTCATTATTCAGTAAACTGGCGTCCCTTCTGTATGCAATTTTTTACCTCCGATTAAACTACTACGTAGACAGGGTATGACAATGGAAACTTTCCACGCCAATTTTTTGGAATTGGAGAGAAAATCTGGGAAAACGCTCGGACACGTCGATATTTGATTTAAGGGGGAACTATTTTTTAGTTTCTCCAATCCCCATAGCTTTAACCCCCTAGCTGGGTGGAGAACAACCCCCCAAATTTCAGTAGGGGACAGGGGTCGAGTCATACCTCTTTTTGAAGGTCTCATCGACTTCTTTATGACTCTAAAATTTCGTCTCATTATTTTTATTCGTAACGAAAGCTTGTAAAAATCTTGGAAGTAGATTATTGTTTTAGTAGGAGTAAAAGCGATATTTACCTCCCCAATAAAAATACTTACAATAATTAAGTTTTATATTATTATTAATAATAATAATTTTTTAATAATGATGGAGTATAGGATTTATACGCCGCTCAAGCTGAAAGTTATTGACTCATACCTTGTCAAAATTATTACAAAAATTACTGTATGAGTACTGTATAAGTATGACGTTTGAAAATAAAGCAACTTTAATTGTAAGTATTTTTATTAGGTTAACTTCCTTAATAATAGTATCTTATATACCTAGGTAGAGAAGTTGGTCATTATATACCGAGCGCTTTTATAAAACCGAGGCGCGAAGCGCCGAGGTTTATAATGCGTAAGGTATATGTGAACTAAGATGACTTTCTCTACCGAGGAATATATAGATTTTTTTTTACTACTGCTAGTAGAAAATAAAAAATTGCGTTGCAATCTGTGTTCAAATTATTTTTTCTTGTCGAAAGACGAAAGTGCTGCCCTCTATCAACAGCTCATGGAAATTTCCTATGATGTACATACAGGAACCTGTTTTTTTTTTCTTTAAGTTGACAGTGTGAAATTGAGATGAAACCAATAGAAACCTGGTACGTCATGACAATATCCTTGCGTCATGACGTCATTTTCATTATCGACCTAGGTTTTTTTCCATTATTATCCCTGTTAACCCAAGAAAACAAATTCATTTTTTCCTAGAAAAATAGGTATATTGAATACTACTACTTCTCAGGTAAGTAGTAAAAAAAAATAGTATAGTATCGCTTTCACTCCTACTAAAACAAGTATATTGCCAAGATTTTGACAAGCTGTCATTCAGTTACGGATAAAAATAACAAGACGAAATTCTAAGGTCCCAAAGAACTTGATGAGACCTTTAAAAAGAGGTAGGATGAAACGACCCCTATCCCCCGTTTAAATTTGGGAGGTTGTTTTCCCCCCAGCTAAGGGGCTTAAGCCCGGGAATGAAAAATAGTTCCCCCTCAAATCAAAAATCGACGTGTCCGAGCGTTTTTCAAGATTTTCATTTCAAATCTGAAAAATCGGGGTGAAAAGTTCCCATTGGCCCACCCTGTATAGTAGTTTAATCAGAGGTACAAAATTTCTTAAAAAATGGGCGCTAGCTTAGTAAATAATGAATTAAAAAAAAATTGTATAACAGGGAAAAGTTGTAGAGAATCCGATTATCTACAATTAGAGACCAAAAATTCCATTGTAGCACAATGTGGAGAAACAACCCCTATAGCTAAGGACGCGGAACAGAAAAGTTTCTGATTCCGGTGTTTTTACACCCAGGGCACCTCCTTTGAACAATCCTGAGAAAATCAGCATGCCTCTTTTTTTTTCCACACTTTCCGAAAATACAAAACATGTTTTTTTTGTAAATTTACCCATTGTTTGCTTACATTAAATTTTATCTCAGGTGCTCCGGAAAAT